AAGGCGAAAAAAAGTTAGTCGACTGAGAAAGGAAGAAGCTGAATAATTTTTTTTTTTTTTTTTAAAGGAACGAATGAATTGGTACATGAAAGAAAATTGGAACTTTAAAAGAGTAACTAACAGTAAATGACTAAGAAAGAAAGCGTAGCATTCCGACTGCGTTGCACATCTAAGAGTGACAAGAAAGGGTTGGTCTGGGAGTTGAGAATTAAATTGAAGTGAAATGAAACAAAAAAAAAACAACAACAAAAAATATGATGGTAATAGCAAAGAACAAAATGTATAAAATGGTTGTGACGGAAAACAGACATCAAACTCAGCACAAAAAAAAAAGAACTGGAAAAAAATGTTAAAAAAAAAACAAACAGAGGTGAGAATAGAAACAGACGGAAAGCGAAGAAAAAAGAGAACAATAAAAGAAAGAAATGATTGAATGAAACTTTTAAAAGAAATATGCAAAAAAAAAAAAAAAAAAAACGTCTTGCATTTTAAAATGAAAGAAATAACCGAACATAAAAAAAAAAACGTTTCTTCATATTTATTTTAATTATTTTGTCTCTGTTTCATTCTTCGACGCCATCTTCTTTTAGGTAGTATTTAAATGGTAGCGACTGTTGAGCTATTATTAAATATAAGAAAATACCTTCTATCGTATCATAAGTATATGAAAGAGTTGAGTCGACATTTTTCCTATAGAACAAAAGCAGCTGAACCAACGACCTTCACAAACCCAACATACCCCCAATTCCCCTCTTAGCTTTCTTTATCCCAAACCACGATATCTGTGGCGTAATGATATTTGAATATTTGCAGCTCATCATACGAACGAATTAGGCATACCGTTTGATAAATGCATCTTCTGACAGACCTAGCGTCGATTTGATTCTCTCGGCCACAGATACTGGTTGTGTCCGATTAGTGGGAAGGAGCCAGAGACCGGGGTCTTGTACAGGGGGAATGGTGTCTGGTGCTTACTTCACCCAACATCAACACCTTCTCCCGCCAACCAAAACCTTCATGCCACCGTGTGCCTTGATTCACCCAAAATTATTCAATTTTAAAAATTAGGTTACTTTCAGAAACGACTTCCATTAGCGACCATGCAAGCCTGCGTGGCCAAACGTGATTATTCAGAAGAAAGGTTCGCGTTAATTCTGTTCCGAGCACACTACACATTGACTGCCCGAATGCCTTCTTCCCGCCCGGAGTTTTGGGAACTGCCTCATCTTGTGGACAAGCCCAGCTGTCCTCCCCCTACCCATCTTTCAAAGAGAATTGAAAGAACTTTGTAACTACATATGTCGGGGTTAATAGTGGTGCCGGCGCTTGTAACTCTGCATAGTAACGCAAATTAGCTTGAAGAAGTCAATATATTAGAAGAACGGAGATTAGAACGTTAATAGTTTTACCCCATACGGGTTCTATATTGTTGATGTGCAAAAATGAAGGCAGGTATCCTCATTTTAAAACCAAACTAAACCAAAAATGAGCACATGCTTACAAATAGCAATTTAGTATAAATGCTGTCCATAAAATCTCGAAGCTCTCAAGTATTTCCGGTTTCTGTAAGAAAATAGAAGTGTATGGGATAATATTGCTTGTGGAGGTGTTTTAATTTAATATTTCTAGTTATTATATTATAAAGAATCATACTTAAAACCCAGGTTGTGTGTGTGTCTGTTCGTTTATATATTGGATCGGATTTCCTACATTTTTCAACCGATTTCAACAAAACTTCACAGGACTATGTAAAATTACCTGGCGGTGGTTCTGACACAATTGTTTTTGCACGAAATTAATTTGAAAACACGATTAAGAGGCATCGCGAGAATGAAAGGGGGACAACTCATATCGAGTTATACTTATTATAAAACCCAGGTTGTTTGTTTGTTTGTGTGTGTGTGTGTGTGTGTGTGTTCATTTATATATGGGATCGGATTTCCTACATTTTTCAACCGATTTCAACAAAACTTCACTTTTTTTTGGAAGATAGTGTTTCTTATAGTCTTGCACACTTTTTTTTCTTTATTTTTACATTCAGAATGCTTTAAAAATTCCATTTACAAGACAATTGTCTATAATAAAATTCTATTCAATCGGTAGACTCATAACGATTGAAAACAATGTTTTTGTTTGAGTTTGGGTTTGACCAATTCGTAAAAAAAAAAAAAACTAATTAAGACATGCGTGTCCGTCAACCTTAAACAATAATCTTTGTCAATTTTATTTTTCAGTCTTTATGATGGTCGATACTTGATCTATCTCTTACTGTTACATCCCCGGGCAACGCCGGGCTCTACTGCTAGTTATTACTAAGATATTTGTTGTACAAATGCTTCACAAGGGCGAAAACGGGGGAAGGGAAAGCTCGGCTTCACCTGTCTTATAATTAAATTAGCCTCAATGACCCACTCGTTCGTATATTGATTCTTTTACCAAAACATCTAATCTATACAATGCTGCCTTACAAAAACACCATAATGCCACATTTGTTCTAAGAATCCTTACCGAATCCCATATTTCACTGTCGAAACGGTCAAATGCAGCCGTCTCTTCTACTCCAATAGCTTCATGTATCGCACTTCCTGTCTGTAGAACTCACTTCTTTTTACTTGCTTCCCTGATATCCATAATCTCCAAATATTCAAATGCAATGTCAATCGACATCTCCAGATGCTTTGATCTATTCCCAGTCCCTCTTTTTATCCTTTCCTCTATCACGCCTCTTTACTCTTGCTCCCACTCTCTGTAACCTCTTGCATTCTAGCGGCACTCCCCCTTTGCTTTGGGTGAAAATGCTTATACACACACACACACACACACACACACACACACACACACACACATATATATATATATATATATATATATATATATATATAATTAAGTAATTCATCGAGTCTAGAAGAAACCTCAACAGAATGCAGAACGCACAGGACGGCCGTTTTGTCCTATATTTGGGACTCATCAGCAATGCGCATCCACTATTGAGAATTGAAACCCGAACAGTTACGATAGGAGGCAAACGCTATACCAACGGGACTCGGTGACGAAGAGGTAATGAATTAGACTCGATATAGCGCCGCTCGATCCCAAATTCCGTGGTGGAACTTTTTCTTATATATATATATATATATATATATATATATAGTCTTTGTGGAGGGCTGGGTTGATAAATTTCCAAATGTTCATGATGTAAAAAAGATATTTACACTACTAAACAAAACAGTGTCAGTAAGGGGAACCCCCACAGTCTATTCTTGGGAAAATAATAATTGTTAATTAGCGAATATCAATCAACTAAAATAACCACGTATGTGTGATTGAGTGACGTCATTGACCACCGGAACCGGAAGTTCCTTTCTGGTAAAGATAGTACAGACGCGGGATGTATAAATCGGTAGATATGAGACAGTACCTCGTGCGTGCTCGAAACCTTTAACTGGTCTCCTTATTTTCTGCGCCTATCCCAATTGGATCTCTGCAGCATTCGTCTTTCACGAGTTGTGAGATACTACAGTATGTTTCCTCGCTAAATGTAAAGAAGGATTACCACTAATATGGCGGTGATGAGGGCTAAATAAGGTAACTAAAGGTTACAGAAAATACAAGGTCTAAATTCAAATCCTCGTTAACATAGCAAAACGATATATCGAGAAAATATAGTTACTTAGTAATATATAGGAATAAAGTGTCGATGCCGACACTTGTGTTTGAACATCGATCGCCAGTGAACAAACACAGTAGAATTATCTAGACCACATGACCATAAAGGAAACGCATAAGTAAGAAATAGCGTGACGTCCAAGTAATCTCCATTTCTAGTCTATCTATGTACGTTGTGGCGTATGTACAAAATTGTATGTACGTTGTGAGGCATGTACAAAATTCTATGTACGTTGTGGAGTATGTACAAAATTGTATGTAGGTTGTGGGGCATGTACAGAATTGTATGTACATTGTGGGACATGTACAAAATTGTATGTACGTTGTGGTCCATGTACAAAATTGTATGTACGTTGTGGTCCATGTACAAAATTATATGTACTTTGTAAGGCATATACAAAATTGTATGTACGTTGTGAGGCATGTACAAAATTCTATGTACGTTGTGGAGTATGTACAAAATTGTATGTACGTTGTGGGGCATGTACAAATATGCTGTAGCAACAGTTACAAGATTGCCTACTAAAATTAAACAATATAAATGCTTTTTATATAACATTTATTAAACTTAATGGATATAGTATATCAGTCCTCGTATATAGCATAGAATGCTGGAAAATCTCCTCACAAATGGAGAGACTTGAACAACAGAAATCTAGTTTTTCCAAATCTGAGAAAACCAGGGACCGAACATGTAAAGTACGAAGCAGTTTTAGAGAAAATGGAAGTAAAAAGAACATTTAGACTTAACATCGGGAAAAGATAGCTGGAATTTCTGGGACACATAATGAGGAAAAGGGGCTTGGAAATTTTGAAACTCACAGGACAGATTAAAGGCTAGAAAAGACTGGGGGGGACACAAACTGCCGACGAGGCAGAGTTTGGGAGTGACGGCAAAAAGACAAAATTTATTAAGAGCTACTAAGGACAAGAAATTGTGGAGAGTCATGATCACCGACGTCCTGAAGGGACACGGTACATAGAAGAAGAAGAAGAAGAAGAAGAAGAAGAAGAAGAAGAAGAAGAAGAAGAAGAAGAAGAAGAAGAAGAAGACTTATAGACAAAGAATATTCTGAAGTAATATAAAAGAGAAGCATACAATGGAAAATTAGTTAAAACATACAATGAATCTTAAATCAATTTTTTTCGCAATAATGCAGATTATTTGAAGTGTGCAAATATTGAAATATTGAACATTTCAATAAGTTTCCTTTGTAGGAAGAAGGACAGTTTACTTTTTGTCGAAGCGCAACTAAATAGACAAAGGGCAAAGTCACTGATGGTTACTTCTTGTGTCCTTTGTTGAATAACATATTTTATACGTGACATGGGCTTACAGCCACATCACGTTGAAACACTGATTCCCGTATGATCACCAAAGTTAAGCAACATCGTGTCTGGCCAGTACCTAGATGGGTAACCACTTGGGAATATCAGGTGCTGTAAGCTTGGATATGTGTGTACTATAATGGACAATGGCCCGGAATTCTTAAACGGGGAGCCAAGTTTGTGGGGTTCGTTATATTCACTTACGCGCAAATATCATTGAAGAAGGTATGAATCCACCTCTTCCCCCAGCTATGGGTTAATTAGTAAGACTAGTATTATTAAAACCATTATTATCCCTACACTAAAATAGGTTATACTGGGTTAAAAAAAATTTAAATTTCGGCATTAACCCCTTCTCCACCAATTATTTTGTGAAAAACGTTTCATTTTCCAACGAATTGTTTTATTTGTTTTTTAGTATAGTAGCTAATGAACTGAGGCCCCTGAAATGCTCAGTCGGTAGCTAACACCTCTACCAAACGTATGAGTTGATAATTGAACTCGTTTCAAGCTCAGAGGGGCGTAAAAAGAATGACGATTGACGTGTAAATACGTATGTTGCTGGATTTTGAACGCTATCTTTTGGACGTGTTTATTCGTCCATGTCTGAAAAAACACTTTTTGGTAAAAACGTATATACACGTCTACGCCGAGAAATAACCCATACAGATTTATATGCCGCCAAAAACAACCAAATATACACAACGTTTTTAACTGGTGCGTGCGTGCGTATATAAATGTACAAATAGGTTACAATGAATTTGAACTGACTAACCTCCAATAGCGGCCAATACGCAAACACCTCAGCAGGTGCGCTGAGATTGTTTCGTATGGCATCACAGAGATCAAGAGAGAGAAATTTGGCGTGCACTGGGGTTTAAATACTGACCAGTGATGATGCCATGTTTTCCAATAGGAAGCCCAGTTTTTATTTTTTTATCAAGTCACCCCAAGCCAGGCGATAATGCCGCTAAGACGCAAAGGGCTACTGGGAGTGAACGTGAATAGGAAGACTTTAGAAGGAATCAGAAACGCAATCCTAAACAGAAAACAGGGGATAAACCTCTACTCCTGTTCAAAAGACCAGGGAGGAATATTAGCCAGATGATATAAAGAATGATTTAAATAATATTTTTCTTAAGACAATAGTGTCCTTAATATATCTTGTTTATAAAAGCAATTAAGAGTATTTCTAATTAAATAATGTCATGGCTTTATTGCATTTTTTATTTTACGATTCCGAACAGATTTTCGGTAAATGGTGTTCCTGCTCGGCAAGAACAAAATGATTACTAAAATTCTCTTAGGAGCCCTGCTTTTACCTGATATAAATATGAAGAAAATAAAATTTTAATTTCTCGAAATTTCATAAAATTAAGTGGCGTTAACAGATATAAAAAAATATATATATTTTTACCAAGATTTTCTAAAAAAAGAAGAAAAAATCCCAAAGATAATTTAATTAATTTGTGAATAAGTCCTGAAAGTTTCATTAAAATCCGACAATTATTTGATTTTTGCAAGAATTTCCAAATTAATGTGTTTCTTTTTTTGTTTTTGTTGATTTTTTTTTATCGGAAAATAGGTGCTAAAACACACGCAGTAATCTTGACGACAAAAAGAAAAGAAAAAGATTTTTAACCAAAATTTCGAACGTGCTAAAAAAGCACGTTAGAAATTTTGGTTAAAAATCTTTTTTTTTTTTTTACAGATTAAAAAATTTAATAAAAGAACGAAAAAAATATTTTGATCTTTCCTCTTAATAATAACATAAATATTTTGACGATAAAACTTTTATTTAGTTTGGGGGCATTTTCATCTTGCTATACTGTTTTTTATTTTCAGCAAATTAATGGAGGTATATATATATATATATATATATATATATATATATATATATATATAAAAAGGTTTAAAACTAATATTCCATGGTCATAATTCATTCCATTGGAATCGTAAATACGATCCAATTCATCAGATCTACAAATTCAAAAAGAAAACAGAAAAAAAAAACAGAAAAAAATATTAGCTATATATATATATAATAAAAATATTATATATATAATAAAATATATAATAAAAATATTAGCTATATATAATATATATATAATAAAAATATTAGCTATATATATATATATATATATATAGGACAACTCTGAATTCAAAACCTACAGCCCTTCAAAAAGTGTGGTTGGTTCTACACAAGGCCTGCACTACTATAATCAAATCTTATGTGCTGGTGTCTGGCTGTCATTTCCTAGAACTGAACTGTTTGACCCTCATACATCAAATACGACGAGAGAGTCCACCATATATATATATATATATATATATATATATATATATATATATATATATATATTGTAACTAATATATTGATACAAATGGTTAACCCTCACGCCTCTTATTGAAATAATTGCTTCAGTCGTTTCCATAGTAATTAATTTTACGAATTAATATGCTTATAAATCTGCGTAAATTTCAAGATTAGTTATTCCAAAAATTTCGCTTATGGATGAAACAGAGCTTGATACTTTAATTTGATTTAATTTTAATAATTATATTGAAGTTTTTGGCTCCTGTTTTTGAAACATGAGAACTCTTATGTAGCGAAGGAATCATATTTAAAAAAATACTTATAATGTATATATATATATATATATATATATATATATATATATATATATAATAGTTGTTGTTGTTGTTGTGTTAGTAGGAGGGGGAGGAGGAAGAACTAAACTGACAGTCAAATTGAATGGAGTATAACAGATGCAATGACTATAACTGGTCCAACAAAAGACACAAAACCTCAGACCTAGCAGCTGCCAGTCTATTGCTCTAGCGTTTTAACCGCATGTGCAAGAAGAGGTAAGGGGCTGTTCATCTCACTGTGGATGACTTCGGAGTGGAGGTGGCAAAGACATCGTCAAAGAATGAACAAAGTTGGGTGGAATCCAATTTAACAAGAGATTTGAAAGAAATGTTTTCCCCCCTCCCCTTTCTGCTGAAAAGGGTCAAAAGAGGCGGGAACAAGAGACTGGGGAATCTGTTTTATATTCCCGGCCATACCCCCTTCCCATTCCGAAACTAACATCTCCCTAATCCACACCCGGGCCCGTGTTCCACGTATTCCCCCTTCAACCTCTGCAACTCCTGTTTTGGCTTTGAACAGGATATTTCAAACTAAACCACTTTTGTGGATTGATAACAGTCGGTGAAACAAATTTGGCATGAGCAGAAACGAAATTTCAAGACCTCAACAATATGGATTAAATAAATATCCGCCGGTCTGCCTGAGTGATGAGAAAACTGCGAAGACGTAGAATAGTGCAGTGCTTATGCATCATGGCGTTTAATAGCAGATCGATCTAATACTACGTTGTGTGTGCACTGATTTACACGATTGGCTCATGGTGAAGACACAAAATTTCCTGTCGAAACAATTAGCGTGTTCAGTTTCCAAATGTAGGCGACTCGATATTCATAGTGCTATTAATTACTTGGGGAAATGTGTGCCAAATCACAAAAAAAAAAAAAAAAAAAAAAATGAAAAGATCAGATTAGCGATCTGGTTCAAAAGGGGAATAATTTTTTTTTTTAAAGAAAAAAAAAAAAGAAAGATCTCTGGATCTTTTCACCACTAAATAAAAAACGTACATTTACTAACATTCACACTAAGTTGGAGTGCAATGGAAGGGCCTCGCTCTGGGAGAATTTGGAAACTGAACACGCTCAAACACTAATAGAAACAATATTTCTGAAGCAGGCATTTATAAAATAAATTGCCATAACTGTCCCTACCAATATATTGGAGAAACAAGCAGAATTTTTAAAAGATATAATCTGTAATAATAAATTACATTAAAACAGATGCATAATACTACCTAATACTACATTGTCACATCCACTATCCAGAACAACCTATTCCATCTAAATAATCTTAAAATAATCACACTTTCAAAACCATTATGGATATACTCAGATGCTCAAACACTAATAGCAACAATATTTCTGAAGCAGGCATTTATAAAATAAATTGCCGTAACCTGTTCCTCGCAATATATTGGAGAAACAAGCAGAAATTTAAAAAGACGCATCTATGAGCAAAAAAAAAGACCTCCCAAAAAACAACTTAGCTAATGCACTAGTCACACATAGAAAGAAATAAATTCAACCATAATTTTGATTTTAAAAATGCACACTCATAAAAAAGAAAATAACTCACTCAGAAGGTAAATCCTCGAGAGTGCCGTCATTGAAAATTATCCAAATATTAATCTACGCCTAGGTTTTTCCCAATATCACCTTTCCTAACAGAATTACTACTTTCCCAAGCCAACGTACACAACTATATCAAGAAATCAAAAGAAAATGGTTGAATCCGTCAACAATAAAAACAATATTTCTACACATGAAAGTACTTGACGTAATCTTCAGTTGACACTGTAAATACAATAAAATTGTATAGATTTATTTACTTTTTTCCTCAAAATATGGCGCACCCGAGTTACCCACCTTTGCGATCGCTCCAAAGGTAGGCCACTCGGGTGCGCTGTGTGTGGGGGTCTACATTCGTGCTCACACCGATAAACAAGCCAAAAACATACCTTCTTTTTTTCTTCTTTTTTTTTTTTTTTTTAATTATAAAAAATTTCGTGCAACTACATCGAATATCCGCACATACGAATTGTGAATAAGTCTGATTTTCGTTAATTTTTAATCCTGAGGGTTGGAGTTGCTGCGAGGCAAGCTAAGCAAATTTTGATTTAAAATTTATAATTTCAAAAGCGTGACCCGGATGATAGGCGAACCTGTCCACTCCTATTGAGGAAAAAAGTAAATAAATCTATACAATACTAAAAGTCTGTGATTGTGTACGTGCTTGCGTGGTGCGTCCGTCCGTCCGGCGCATAATGATTTAAGTGAATAAGATTTAAAAATACGAGTAGATTTTTTAGAAAGAACCGGAAACCTAATCCTATACAGGAAACAAGTGATAAACCTTCTACTTCTGTTCAAAAAAGGGGGAAGGAGTGTGAACCGGACGATAGGCATACCTATCTTCTCCTATTAAGTCAACCTATCTACTATTCATTTAGGTTTCTTGTTCTCTGTGAG